GTGGTGCGATCCGGCCACCTATAGCCATGAGTGCCCACCTTAAGTTCTATATGAATTTCATGAAAATGTTATGAGTGAATGTCTAAGATGTTCAATAAATTTTGGGGCCTGATCATAAACTATATTCTCAGTTATGTTTTTAATACCAGATATAGTTGTTTTTTTATTTATTTTAAGCTGCTTAGCTAAAAAACTTCCTGATTTATTACTATGTTCAAAATTTTCTAATCGAAGTCGTTGTATCAAGATATAGTTGTTTTTTTTATTTATTTTAAGCTGCTTAGCTAAAAAACTTCCTGATTTATTACTATGTTCAAAATTTTCTAATCGAAGTCGTTGTATCAAGAATTTGTTTTTTTGTCTGTTTTCATTCAACTCTAATTTTGCCTTCCGCATTCTTTGCTGTATTTCTTTGCCTTGCAAAGAATTGATGAATTTCTTGTAGTAATACAACATCTGCCTTTAATCTTTTAAGCTGGTTAAAAACTCAATCCTTTCTGTTGGGTACCGGCTCCGTTTATATTCCATGTGTAAATGGAACTTAAAAAATAGTTTCTTTGTCTTGCTGGACACTGAAATGGAATCACATTACTTTTATTGCTTAGTATTTTGGCAATACTTTAAAATGTCAGAACTGAGCCTAATAATAAATCTACAAGCTCCTCTAGTAACTGGATTTCTGTGTAGTTTGAGTGAAATAAAAATGTTGAAATCATTTTTATGCTTTTATTATAAAAGGACTTCCCATGTTAGAGAACTGAAATAAGGATGGAATAAAAAATGGAGACTTATTTAAAACTGGACCACAGGTCACATCACAAGTGATATCTGAGCTTCATGCTGACAGCAGAGAGGAGATATATGAGGACGTGGAGGCAGTTGAAGTGAGGACAGAATGAGATGGAGGATGATGACACCCTGGGGTTARCTCTGAAGAGGGAACAGCTGAAAGAAGAAGAAGATGCTGACAGCAGAGGTTACGGTTAGTGAGATGAGATCAAGGCTAATGGCTGTAAATATTACAGAAACACTGCTGTCAACAGATGCCTGGGTGAGAGCAGAAAAACATGTTTACAAACCAAAACGTGTAGAAATGATCTGGTCTTTATTAAAATGGAGCAAAATAAACCTCACATTTCAAGTTGGAACAAAGGGAAGTTATTTTACTTTCATGTCTGTACAGCTAGCCGTTCTGTTAAAGCAACACCAAATATTTTTTTCTCTTCAGCTTTGATGCCAGTAGGAATGAAGTCCACACTGAAACCCAGCCCGTTTGAATCTGAAGTGTGGCTTCTGTTGGTGGACCAGACAGACAAGAACCACCAGAGAGCAGAGAACCAAGCCTCTGAGAAGCTCCTGGCAGTCCAGAGTGTCAGCTCTACTTTACAGAACTGAGGTTGAACAATGAGAACAAAGGGTTTTTAGGATAAAGTTCTAACAAAAGCTGCTGGGTGACAGRAGAGCAGAAGATGACAGTAAAAAAATAAACTGGGACATGAATACAAAAAAAAGGTTCAGAATCTTTTTCTTTTGAGGATTTCTGGTTTCCAGTTGACTGGGTGGGTCTCTTCGGTCTAAAAGAAAGACAAAACAACGACATGGTTAATTGTTGTTGTACATCCACACAGATCGTATTCTAATGCGGTGTGAAAACTTACAGCCATCTCGTCCTCTTTGTAAACTTTGATGGTCTTGTCGGCCTCTGCGGTGATCAGTCGGCTCTCTGAGTTATCGAACACACAGGCAAAGATTCCTGACTCGCTGTCCAGAGACCCGGGCTGCACAGCGGCGTGAATCCGCTGGAAGTTGTAGCCTGTCCTCCAGTCCCACATGTGCATGGTTCCATTGTCGGCTGGAGTAAAATAAACAGAAACAGAACAAAGAATGAGCTTAATGTACATCTGATTACACCAGCTATTCGCCCAAAAAACAAGATGTAGGTATTATTACCTCCAGACACCAACACTCCATCAGAGTTAACAGCAAGAGTGTTGATAATGGCGTTGTGACCCGACAGATTTTGTATAAAGCTGCCATCTGGGAACATCCACTGCTTGATGTTATCAGCTGATCCAGATGCAAACGTGTATCTGTAAACACAAGAACAAAACCTCAGCTATTATAAAATAATCACAGTCCTAATGTCCGAGTGTAATCTGTTTGTAGGAATAACTCTGTGAAGGATGCATTTTATGAATTCATTTCCAGTTTTATAAATTACTTAAGGTGGGAAAAACACTCTGCATTATCTAAACGTATCAGCATCTTTTACCTTTTAAATCAGCTCATTTTGCTGCACTGAATTAAAAATTTAAAAATCTAAATTGACTGAAAATCTATTTATTTATTATTTTTATATTTATATATGACTTCTATTTCTTTATATTACGTAAAAATTATGTATGCATGTATATGGGTTTTATTTTTTATTTAAGGATGCGTGCTCCTAAGGCCAATGAGTTCTTWAAAAAAAACTATTTTTTATTCATTGGTGGGCCAGAATGAAGTCAAGCACAGACCAGATGTGGCCCGTGGGCTACCAGTTGAATGTCCTTGTCTGATGTGTGGACTCACTGTCTGGGGTGCAACACCAGAGTTCGGACAGATTTCTTGTGGTTTGTCAGGGTAGCTCTGGTTTTTCCAGCAATCAGATCCCACAGTCTGATGGTTGCATCGTGGCTGCCTGGGGAAAACAAAACAAACAAACAAACAAACAAACAAACAAACAAACAAAATCCATATCAGTTTATGATTACTGACAGTGAAAACTATGGAGCTGAAATGGGGCGATAAAGTTTGTAAAAAAAAAAAAAGTTCAAAACAACCAGATTCTATTTTTTTTTTGTGGATTTCTTTGTTTGGTGTGGGGGCGGTGCCTCAGATGACAGGAGGTGTGGAATCATGACTAACAGCTCAACATAAAGCAACAAGACAAACAAAATATTCCCATCTGCTGCATTCAGGAACCRTGGGAACTGGAAATGTCTTTATAACACCATCAATACTCTATGTTTATGTGATTGTTTTTGAAAAAACATGCTTCACTGATGTAAGCTGCTTATGTCAGCGCACAACAGAAATTTCAGTGGAAAAAATATATTGACAATCACATGAAATGTGTTTTTTTAACTACCTGTTATGATTTGTGGTTCTGCTGCCTGACATCTGACTGTAGCCACAGTGTTGGTGTGACCAGTAAGTGTGTGCACATTTGCTTTTGTCCTGATGTCCCACACCTGCAATGAGAAGAGAAACCCAGTCAGTAAAGCTTGGTTTATACTTCAATACGACGTGAGACAGTGGGTCGGTTATTGCGTAATGTCAGACATAAACAGGAGTATAAACAGGCTGAAGATGCAATGAGACATATATTAATATAATTCCTCCCACAGCTCATAGATAAGTAAATAAACAACAATATTAATGGATATTTCTCCATGTTACAGAAGTAAACAGTACAGGTGTGGCAGCTTGACCGGACAATCATTTATTACAACACATGTGAAGATTCAACATGACTCGTGCTCAGAGCTCACCCTTGCTGAGGCATCTCTGCTGCACGTCACAAGCACATCGATGGTTGGGTGTAGGTCCAAATCGTACACAGCACTGAGGTGTCCGTGGTAGTGCCTGATTACCTAAAAAACAAATGGATAGTCAAAAGACTTACAATACAACAGGGGGCGGGGGACAATACACAACATATGTTGCTTTTAATGCTACATAAAAATAATTCAATAATGATCCAACAGTTTTTTGTGAACAGTGTACCTTATTGTACTCCAGATCCCAACATTTGACTTGCTTATCTTCTCCACAGGAGAAGAGGTAGGGGCTGCGGCTGCTCACTGCGACACCCCGGACTGTACTGATGTGTCCCGTCAGAGACAGTTTGAGTTTTCCACTCGCCAGGTCCCAGATCTGCAGAGACAAAAAGCCTCAAAGTTATCGCAGATTCACCTTGATTTTGAACCTTTTAAATACTAAAAAGGGGACAAAAAACCTGTGTCGACCCCAAAAAAAAGAACATGACACGGTTGTTGTTGGCACTCTATCTATGCTCTCAGACATTCTGTGATGTCTACATCTACACAAAAACAACTTAAATGCTGTGAATGTGTCTCGGGAAAACAAGCAAAGATGGCTTAAGAACAGGTCTTTACATGTTAAAGTGAAGAAAAAGTAACTTTAACCATTTTAATTTAATGATTAGTATTTCTGATACCGATCTGATAGCTTTATTTCTTTCCAAGTGACAATGTTGGTAGTATTAAAGCGAGCCCTTCTCTTCCCACCACGAGAAACATCCAGTTTGCAGATTTTGCAGGATGCAGTTTCAGCATCATTGTTTTCCACTGAAAAGTGTTCCCACACTGTGGACATGTTGCATACTTGTGTGCGTCTTGACTTCTTAACAGCAGTTGTAAAGCATGATGATGCTGAAAACTGTTGCGAAAACTGTAACGGCCCGATCACGACTAAATCCGATTCTACCCAATTTTCAAAAAATGGCCATATCTGCCACCGATACGATGCTGAGTAACTGATCGGGACATCCCTAATGGCTACATAAGAAAAGGACTTAAAGATAAAGCTTTTTTTGTTGTCAAGATATTGTTCCCGTAATTATAAATAAGTCTCAACAGATCTAACCTTTATAGTTCTGTCAGCAGAGCCGGTGACAAACCACTGATTTCCAGGCTCCACAGCAATAGATCTCACCCAGCCAAGGTGACCACTGATGACCTGTCAGAAAACATTTAATACAATTAAATACCACAAGACACATTCAGATAATTCAGATAACAAAGATCATTTATGAAATGAATCATAGATACCCGAAACAGTTTCCACGGAGGATGCCACTGAGGTTTGGGCATTGTTGGAGCTCTCCTCATGAGTGCTGAGTTTCTGGTGCCACTTCCATCTATGAGCGACTAAAAGTAGAAAGTGTTTGATTAGACACTGACTGTTGACTGAGTCTGTGTGAAGAAYGAGAAATTATTGGGGAGGCACAAACTAATGAATCCACAGACAGAACAGTCTTATTTCAACTGTCCCAARTATTTAAGGAAAAAAAATAAACAAATTTACCAAAAGACTAACTGAACGGTTGTTTTAATATAGAAATACAAACTTTATTGTTGAGTTCTATTTATTTGTTTCAGTTTTACAGGAAAATACGGTAAGATTTCAACCAGAAAACAATGTTTATCAACCGACAACAGCTGGGGGCACAGGTCTCTGCTGCTGGTATTTTATGCGTCAAAAGCTGAAAAGTTTGGGAAACACTGTTCTAAAGCACCTCTCATCTTCACTTTACAAATACTCAATCATTCCCAGACAGTGTGCTCTCTGGCTGTTTTCTACTGCAGATAAGATATTGACTGCTCATAGGTGTTTTCCACAACACTCACCTACAAAAAAAAAAAAAAAAAAAAAAAAAAAAAAAAAAAAAAAAAAAAAAAAAAAAAAAAAAAGAAAGAAAGAAAGAAAGAAAAAAACAAAACAAAACTAGATGTTTAAGCTTTGCACTTCTTCCAAAGACAAATAAAGAATCTGTGAGTCGGCTCAGTGGTTAGCACCGACGCCTCACTGCAAGAAGGTCCTGGGTTCGATCCACGGTTCTGATCTGGGGTCTTTCTGTGTGGACTTTGCATGTTCTCGTCATGCTTGCGTGGATTTTCTCTGGGTACACCTGTTTTCCCCCACCCCCCAAAAACATGTACAATAGGTTGCCTTGATGCCCAGGGCTCCCTTGAAAAAGAGATCTGTGGAAAAAAAAAAAAAAAAAAAACAACCACTGTGACCTACCACTGCAGTCGACTGAGGGTGAACTCTTTCTGCTCCTCCTGCGTGTCGATGGATCTCCGCAATGCTGGCTGCAGTGCGGCTGGCATCCAGTCTGTGAGTGAACCGCAGAGACGAGAAGAATGATTGAATTCAATTCTCCTGATTATAAGATCTTTCCTCAAATACTCAATATTCAGAGTTTACCTTGCTTGTGAAGGGGGTAAAGCCAGAGCCATGGAGTGCACTCCTGCTTCACTGGGATTCCTGTGCATCTTCGTTTCAGCTGTCAACGCCACYCCTGTTCAGTGAAAGTTGTTGTTATTGACTTTGAAATAATGACAGCTTGGTTTGGCTTTAAATCTTAGAAAAGGTTGACATTTACCAGGTCCAGATGGATAAGCATGTGTTCCTGTAATCAGGTATTCTGGGACATCACCTAAAATATATTGTTAAAATTAAAAATGTAAATTGTTTTAGCAGAAACATTTACGAAACATATTAAAATAAGTTCAGTTCATTTCAGTGTGGATCTATTACATGTTAGTTTCCTCCTTACCTGCGTGTGCRTAGCTTTGTTGGCTTTCCAAGCCATCTGGATAATGTGAGACTCGTTCTTTGCCCTCTTTCAAAACAGGCATGTGTAAAACTGGACCGTACTCCACCTTTAGTTTCACACCCATCTTCAGCTTATGGCTGCAGACACAGAAGATAAAATGTTTGTATTTACCAAACATGGCTGCACAATATATAATACAATTATAGTCAGTGGACTGCATTGAATCACTGGCCATTACATTCCAAGTAACATGAATTTATGTTCTGAATGCTATTTATATATTTGATCAACTTGAAGGCTCATCGGTCATGAGACAAATTATAATACATGCGACAGAAYAGAAGAAAGGAGGAAGGAAAATAAAGGATTATTGCATCTGATATTTGGCAATAAGACACACTGCAAGTTAAAAGTKTAAAGCTATAAGTGAACACCCAGGCAGGAGTCAAAGTTTGGGAGCAGCTTGATTTACCTTTCTTCATCCTGGGCGATGCCTTTAGCTTGGTCGGACACAAACATGTCATGGGTCCTTTTGAGAGACCTGAAGACCAGCGTGTGGACTGAGTGCTTCTGGACATCCTGTTCGAGGTGACAATTGTCTTCAAAAACATTGAATCTAACAGTCTTCACAACATATCCGTCATTTTAATATGTACAGTGCAAAACAAAGACATCATGCTTTAGCCATCCAGTAAATACTCGGGCCCAGCCAGAGTGTTTCGTAGCATCTTAGCGGGAATAAAGGCAAACAAAACATATTAAACCTTGAAAATGTCCTACCTCTGTCATTGTGGGGATYAATTTACCAAAAGTAAGTAAAAGTAAAATAAATGGGTTATTCTTTTAGTGAATACAACTTGGAAGCGATGAAAAAACTCGCAAATATTACCACSGCTAAAACCCAGGCGACACACTGTGAACCCGGAAGTAAAGAAGATTCAAAAACAATTAGAAACTCATCATCGCCACCTGTCGGTCAGGATGAACCAATCATCATTTGGACTGGAACTTGTACAATAACATAATGATAAAAAAATACAATTATATTTAATATAACTTTTTTGTATTCTATCACTATTTATTCTAATTTATAACAAGCTCTTTAATAAACCTAGCTGATGCTCTGTGTAGTTTCACCCTTTTACAGAATAAACAAACAATCATGTTATTTAGTCCTTTTWGGAAACTACTTGTTTCTTTAATGCATATCTACAAATATTGTGTGAAAACAACAAAAAAAGAGCTTTTTTATGTTAGGATATTTAATAGCTGTATTTATCTCCTGGTTCCCTACAAATCTTTTATCAATATTTGGCACAGACGGTTGTGAGTCAGGTGGAGTTTGGACTCGACACGAGGTTTCTGAGGTGAGTGTAATGATGGACTGGAACAAACACTTCTAGAACAAAACTCAGAGTAAATAAATGTTGTAATTTTGGGAACAATATGTGTTTTGTTGTTATTTTTTGTGTGTGTCTTGAAAACTCTTTCGACACAATTTTGGTAATAGTTCAAAAATAAAGCCAACTGTAGAGAAAAGGGAATCATAAAATAGTTCAAACAAGCTACAGAGTACAACCCTGAGAATTTAATATGTAAGACACAGTGGACTAGYGGCTGGCACTGTTAAAAAAGCAAAAAAAGATCCTGAATTCAAGCCCAAGGTTGAAACTGAAGTCTTGGTGAGTGGTTTTCTTCAGGTACTTTGGTTTCCTCTTGCAGTCCAAAAACAGGCTTGTTTATGCTGCCTTCATGCCCAGGCCTTACTGAGATCTGTGCCCTTGATGAGATTTGCCTTGTCAAATAGAGGAGAATAATAATAATGATCACACACTGTTGCATGAGCTGAGTCATTCTTGGAGAAAATTAACATACATATTTAAAATAAATGACAATGTAGAAACAGAAGTTTTTAATATAGATGATGAGYTGAATGCAAGTCTTCTTCTGTGGTATTAAACAGGCTTATTAAAAAGTTTTGTGTTTTTATTTATTTATGCATTTACAACCAGATGGATAAAATGCTGCTGAAATGCAGGCATTAGTGTAATTACATGTTTGTGCATGCCTTTGTGTCAAACTTTAATTGAAACATTTCCACCACATGCACTGAGCAYCAAGAAWTCATGCAAGAGTTCATRATATTGCATGAAATTGTGCATTCTGGTGCTTTAAACAAAAATGAACGCTGTSATTTCTTAACACAAGATGATCTCAGTTTAAAACTCTGGCGTGTGGGCAATAAACATTCCTTCAAGGATATATTTTTTACAGACCTTTATTTATTTTCTGAAAAGAGAAAGAGTCTGTGTCAGTAACTTTAAAAATGGAGTTTATTTAAAATTTAAGCGCGGTTACATTTTCTGAGCATGTGCTTATTTGAGAACTGAAACCTAAATGATAAGCTTTGCATCCTTTAAACCTGGTGACATGAGCTGATGAAATGCAGAAACTAATAAAGTGTACATTTATTTGATGTGTTTACTCAGTGGTGCACATTTTTGACCACACAGGGTTGAAAGTATCCAGATTAGCAACCCCCATAAAACAAGACTTCCATAAGTAAAATACATTTATTGAGTGCTTAAAAGAACAATAAAGAGGCGGCAAAATTAAATATAATTGTTTTGTCTGATGGCTCTGATYACCAAAAACATGCAAACATCCCAGGATGAATGGAAACGGTTTATTCTGACTTGATTCCAGGATTATTAACAAAAGCAGACCGCAAAGATTTCCCCTCTCTACATGTCTCCAAATCCACCGAACTGTTTCACCCCGGCCTGCTGTCCACCTGCTGCGATGCGGCTGAGGGGAATGATCTTCATTGTCGTCTCCTTCATGGAGTACCAGCGGTTGTGCCACGTGACCCAAATGATGCCGTTGTCAAAGCCGAATTCCCCTGCGTCCTTCTCTGTGTATCTGCCTCCTGGAGAAATATGACAGCGAGTTCAGGCCTAGCATGATTGTAGTGATTTAGGCCAAGAAAATACACAAGTGTTACAAATTTTTCTGAAAAAGAAAAGAWTGTTTAGGAGTTTTTAAATGATTGCTTTGATCTTATGAAGTGAGGTTCTGTGGAAAAATATGTAGTTAATATCTTATCTGCTGTAGATAGCTATTTGAACAACCTCAGTTTGAGAGGTTCATTCTTGATGAAATGATGAGCCAACCAAGACCAGCATTCTCAAAATGTTCATATTTTCACACCAGTGTTGTTTTCTAAACTTTTACTTTGTTGTTCATTTTGCATTAAACTGTTATTGACATTAGTTTCATAAGGTTATGTGAAAGTGAAGTTAGCAACAGCAKCAGCTAGCTGTAGCAATTTTGGTTCATTYCTTGAACATTTTACACTTTGTGGAAAAAAGTTCCACTCAGACTATCTATTAGCTCGTCAACCTGGTCAGAGTCAATTTCTATTTTTCCAACTTGAGCTATCTACGTCAGGTGAGACATTCTTTGCTCATAATCTTTCTGCACAACCSCACATCATAAAATGAGTTCTAAAGGGGTGGTTCAGATGGTCTAATCCAGAGGGTCTTACCCTGGTAGTATTTTCCGTTCAGATGTGCAGCGTGACATCTGTTCATCCACCAGCCCGAGCCGTCCTGCTGAGCACAGTTGCCGTCGTATCGGTCGTTGTCGCTGTCAACAGTGCTGAACTGCATGCCATTGTGGGACGTGTAGAATTTGTCACTGGGGTCGTCTCCGAAGTCAAAGCCATCGAAAGCATCCCCTGCATCACCACCAAAGTAGTAACCGTAGGTGAGACGGTACTTGTCGGCCTCTGACCCGATTCTGAACATGTTGTAGTCAGCATACCTGAGGACAAAATGCCACAACAAGGGAAACACTTCAGTTTCCTAACAACTCTGCTTTCTCCTTCATTTTCCTCYATAAAATAAATCCAGTCATTGATGGGGTCATGTTTGCTCTGTGAACATGTCTTTTTGCAGATCCTTTCATGATCTGTTTTGCTTTTTGTATGTGTGGGTGTGTGTTTGTACTTTTTGTTGCCCTCCCAGTCAACAAGCTCGATCCTCAGCACGATCGGGACGGTGGCGGTGGCTGTCAGCAGGTGGATCTTCTCGTTGCCGAGCCAGAATTCTGTWGTGTCATCTGGGGAAAGGTACCCGAAACCCTCTCTGTACTGAATCCAGTCCTTGGAGAAATCCACACTGCCGTCACGTCTCTGTGAAAACAAAAAAGTTGAACAATCAAACACGTTTTTCGGGGGCTTTAGATTCCTCTGGTGCAGGCTCACAAAACACATCTTGTGTATTCTTGTCAAAAAATGTGTAGAAATAATAAAAAAAGTGATGCAAACCCTTTGTAACACAGTGAAACCACGTCCAAAGCTGTCAATCTCACAATAGACCAAAAACTTCTCTGGTGCTTTTGCTGGCTTCACATAGTAAAGACCGCTTTTAGTAGCTCCTTTGTTTGCAATATCCTGGCAGTCTGATAAAAAAAAAACAATATATATTTCAAACAAATGCAGTTTATGTTTAGCTTCAGAAATAATGCAACAAAGTGAAAACCTGATTTAGAAACCCGATTTGGAAAAAAACTTGGAACCATCTTTAGATGATGTTATGAACTGTAGATAACAGAATATTTGAAGGTTTGCCAATTTTACATGGAACAACATTACTATGAAACTGTTGCACTACTTTTACAGTTGTTTGCAGACTGGTGAACCTCTCCCCATCTTCACTTCCGCAAGATTCAGCCTATAAAATGCTATTTTTATACCAATATGTTGCCTATACTCTAAATAATTGCCTATTTCTTATTCAGACCATTTACTTTTGCAGCTTTTTGTTGCCCCTGTCGCACTGCCCAATGCCATTTTCTCGAAATGCCCCCCCACCACCCGAAATGGTTCAATTTCTTACATTTGAYATGTTTACTTGTTCCATTGAGAATAAAATGTTTTTATAATGTTCCAGCTATTTTGAAAGTGAGGTTGTACAAGATGTTTAGTTTAAAATAAACATGTGTACTTTGCTTTCATGCAGCGTATTGATTTTAGTCTTTAACCAAACACTGAACTGGGGCAAACGCCGTTCAGTCGAGGTCATATTGAGTAACTCCTTGCGAAATAGGGACAACCTGAAAGMCAAGCCTGAGTATCAGTGTATGTTTTAAACTTTTTAATCATTATTATTATTTTTAATTTTATACCTGATCCTGTGAGTGGTTGGATTTCAACCGTGTCCCTGCAGGGCGCACTGCACCTCTGCTGCAGCTGGAACGCTGCTGTCTTCAAGTCGGCCATTCTCCTCTCATTGGATGCAATTATTTCCTGGAGTTCTCTGAAAAAAAAAACAAAACAAAGTCACAAGTACGTTAAGTTCTGGGATAGTTCTGGAGTCAGTTGTATTTCTTTTTTATGCATTGTGATCACAATTTAGAAAAAGTAAGAAAATAACAATAAAAGAATTGTTCTAAATAAAAACACAGTTGCATTTTTAAATATTATTATCATCTGCCATCATCATGAGTGRGAGATCATGTAATTCCCTATGTGTTAGCAAAATATCTAATGAAAGTGAAATAATGAATAATAATATATATAAATAATAAATAATAAAAATGAAACCTTCAGAAACAATCACTGCATGTGCACCTGCAACTAATCTAACCCAATTCAAGATAGCTGCCACAGCTAAATGACCTTAGCAAATTCAAAAACAGCTTTAACTAAAGACACTGAGTTATAACTGATCAGGTCGTAGAATCATTCATTTCATTGTGTCATTTTTAAAGGTTTGACCACATTTAAACTCCAGCATTTCTCAACATAAGATGAACTTAGTTTCAATCTCAGTCATGAAATGTGGCAGACGAAAAGCATTTCTTCAAGGAATTGATCCAGTTTGACATTTTACTACCAATGTATGGTTACTGAGGAATTAATGGATAGAAAAACATTGAACGAGTTTCTAAAGTTTTTCATTTGCAGAGTGTAAAGTCCCTCTTTTGACTACAAGTCTTAAAAGATGTTGGAGTTTTCTGTCAGGAGAAAACAAAAACAAACAAAAAGAAAAACTGGTACATGGAACTGTTTTTACAGAACTGTCCAAACATATTATTTGATACAGTTAAATTGATTCACTAATAGAAACTTACTGTATTTGCTTCTCTTGGGCAACGATGGTACTTTGAAATCGAAAGACATCGTTCAACATGTTGGAAGACTTCTTATAATATGGATCTGAAAAAAAATTAATACACAAGTTAAGTCAAGTCTGCATTTTATGGATCTTGTTTATACAAAAAGGGTTTCAAGAGAAWTTATGAAAAGAGGTGAGTAAATAAAGGTAATGCTACCTGCCGGTGCAGATTTCTGGGCCGAAGTCGCCGAATCTTTCATGTATGAAATCGTTTCCTCTGCGCTGTTAGTCAAATTTGTAATCGTCTCCAGTTCTCGTTGCATTGTGTTCAAATCCTCGTTCACTCCTGGTAAATAGCTCARCAGGTAATCAGCAACCCCGCATGTGGTGGGGCAGTACTTCCCCTAAAAACAGACGAAACATATGAAAAGATTTCCACTTGGTCCAAAAACAGACAAAACAAAAGTCCAAATCATCGACAAGCTTTGGGACATGTACATACAAAGCCGTCGTTCATGTTGCATGTTGCAATGTTGTCTCCTCTGGGTTGCTGTTCATGCAGGGGAGACATGAAAGGTCAGACGAGCAGATTTATGTGAGAAAACGTATTTTATTGAACAGCAACAGGAAACCGACTTACAGCTGCTGAGAGGGAGAGAAGCAGGAGAATTATCCCCGCTGGAGCCAGAAGTGATGGAGCCATGCTGAGTCGTGCTTCTGTGTGAAGAGCTGCTCRTCTCAGTGGGATATTTATCTGAACAAAGGTCCGGGGTTCAGCCTTTGATGAGGCCTTCGTACACAAACATCCCACTCACTCTGTTCCAAAACCCGTRAGTCAAACCTCTGACAGCAGCCTCTTCCCAGAGGTGACGCTTTCTGACCGACAGATGTTGAGACACATCTGTACGGGCGTTTGTTAGATTTTTTAAAAATTTTAAATCAGGACGAACGAACAAGAAGCATGGGAGTCATTAATCAGCTTTTGAACTTTGCACAGTTGTTTTTTTTTTTATTTCTGACAAGAACACTGAGATTTTTCACGTCAAACTGGCCAATTCATGACTCGACAAAACATGAGTCAGTCTTTCTAAAAACATGTCTTCGTGCCAAACATCCTCATTATGGTCTCATCAAAAAGGAGCCACCATGTAATGGTTGAACACAGAGGAAGAAGAAGACTTGGGCTTCAGATGGTTCAGTTATTAAATCAGAGCAAAAACCTTTTTCAACCCCAGAAAAAGAAAAAATAATAATAAACAGCAAGATTAAAAAAAAAGGTTGTAAAATAGAAAGTACATGTCTGATCTTTACAGGTTGATATTTATGATGTTGAAACATGCTGTCATAGTCAAAAATGTTTATTATAGAATATTTTGTCTTCTCGTTGGCTGAATGTTTAAATAAAAAGGATCAATTTAAGAAGGGGACAAAGTTTCTACTCAATGCATGACTGATTGGTTTAATTTCTAGTTTTTTGTTGCAGTTTAACATAATTTTACTCTGACCTAACAACCCACAACTTTATGGAATTTGTTAAACAAAAAGGTCACATTTTACGTAAAAACACCTAGTGTTTTTAATGTTTAAACTAGTGTTTAAGACTTTATTTATTTTATAAAATACATCAACACAATGTTTTTGGGCCTACGTAATTGTATCTAAACCTTTTCTCTCATCCAAATTTCTCATTTTATTTGATAAATGTTGATGATTTAGATAAAGAACAGCAGGTGAAGCATTTTTTTGTTTTGGACTTAAAAAAATATGAGCCCCACATGTTCTTTAATTGTGTCTATCTGAGTGAGGTTTGACTTTTCTCCCATAAATGAAGCCTCAATATAGATTATTTTACTTTAATTACCTCCTATTTTGGCATTTTAGCCAGATATTTGCTGCACTCATCCATTAAACCACTAGTGGGAGTAAAACCACTGCATGATCAGGCTCATCCAGGAAACACGCCTGAAGAAAACACTGTAGGGGTGAAGGAGTGAAACTTTCAAACATGTTCTTGTTTATAGAAAACAAACTGACACCAGGGAGAAGAAATTTTATTTATGTCTGAAATATCAGAAAAAAATGTGTGAAAACCWAAGTGCTCTAGTTTCTGTCTAAAGGTTTTATGGATCAGAACATTAAAATAAATAAAGTCATCACGTAAACTTAATCTCAAATAACTCAAATCAACTTAAAACACTTGTACATACCGGAGTTTGTTTGGTACTGGGTATCACCAGCTAAGTACTACCAACCAGGTAAGTACCTAGTTTGTAGCAGGTACAAGTACTGGATACATTTCAGGCTGTATTATATATTAATTTCTTTAGTTCATTCAGGACTGCTGTAAAACCAATCTTTCATTATTATTTTTTTGTTTTGTTTGATGTAGTTTCTCCAGTTTGTGGACAGAGATAATCCATGGTTGCAAAATACTCGTCTTTTTATTACATCAAATCAAACAGTGAAGCTACATGTTGCCAAATAAAGCTTAATAAYGGTTCATGAAATAAATCTTACTTTGTATGACCTGATTTTATTATGTGACAAATAAAACAGGATGGATTTAAAGCTTTGCTGACCCGAGGACAACCCGCCGGGCCCACTATGGTGAACAGTGCTGAACTTTTGCTGAACTGGCCGATTTGCCACGAAGATACGGACACCATCTCTGGACACAGATAGGTTTGAAACAAGCAAAAACAAAAGTCAAACAACAATAGTTGTTTTCAGTGGCAGCTGAAATGTTAGAAGTTTTACACATAAATCAAAATATAATACAGAATTATTATACCGGCAGAATTAATTCTGCTTGTAAATGTAAGTATCAAGACTAACAAAAAAAGCAAACTTACAGGTTTTCTTACCAACAATTAAATCTAAAGAATCTGTTTTGCGGTCTCTCATTAACTTCGGCTATAAGTATGTTAGCTGTTGCTTTAAACCTTTGCTGCACATGGAGCAAAGGTTTGTTTTAATGCCACATCAGGGTTCAGCTGGGGGCCACAGACTTTAAGTCCACTCAGCTGAATGTGACGTGACTCACTCCAAAATATGTAACAAGTCTGAATATTTGTCAGCCACACATCATGTAGAACCTGATTACGAACAACGAATCCTTTTGCATGAAAGTTTAATTGCCGCCATGTCAAACAATTTCAATCTTAAAATCTTTATAGTGGACAATCTAAATCTCCATCTATCCATATTTGGGTTAAGGAGGCAACAGGTCTAGGAGAGAAAGCCCAGATATCCCTCTCCCCAGTGCTTCTCTCCAGCTCCTTCTGGGGAATCCTGAGGYGTTTCCAGACCTGAGAGGATAAATAATCCCTGCAGCGAGTTCTGGGTCTGCCTTGGGGTTTCTCAGAAAAGCTCGGACTGAATCACCTCATAAAATGTTTCAGCAGTTTCTTTTTACAGTATATCTTTGTATCAATGTGAGATGTTTAAAAATAAAATAAAATAAAATAAAAACTGGACTAAATACTCATTYATATGTTCATAGTCTATGACAGCAAAGTTATTTGGTTTTAGGGTTCACTGGGGGGCTGAAATAAAAGCATCTGAAATCAGTAATCTGTGCATGTGTGTAAATATATCGATGAACTGCAAATGTGTCTGGTTGTCAACTTTTCAACCTAATTTAATTGTCTGCAGGAATAAAATAATCTAAATATACAGCAGATGTACAAAAATAATTACATGTGCAAATATTAGAATAAGCATTGTTTTGGATCATTCCAGAAAGTGCTGACTGATTCTGAGAGATTAGAGCCCCCTGTCCAGAACAAAGACTGTTTATTACGGTGCGATGTCTCAGTGTGTGAGACCTTTTAAAAAGAAGCTTTAACTCACGGCCCAATCAGGGTTCTTAAGGAGGATTCTTGACCTCAATACTATGGAAACAATGGCTGAGGTYTGAACTGCAGCCACATAATAAAGTGATTAGTAAAAGCTACTTTATTCTTCCCCAGAACTTTACTTGAACGTTGCCTAATATTTAATCCTACTAACTAACTAAGCCCACCCCTCTCGTTTCTGCCATAAATAAAAGCTTTTGGCACTCGGTAGGCTTGCTTCATGCTKCCATCATGTTTCTCTACCAGCTACTGAACTTTTACTTTGCGGCCGTGAAAAAAGACGAGGACTCGAAATATGAGCTGTCTCAATACAAGCGAGGCGATTTGTTGGAGGTGCCAAGGACTTTGTTTACACACTTTGGTATTTATTTAGGCAACAACCGGGTGGCTCATCTCATTCCAGACATCCTGCCCGCAATTACCAAGGACAAAGCAGCCATTGCCAAGATGGTGACCAATAACCGCTTACTTGTGGGGGTCATCGCAAAGGTGGCCAGTGTGAGAGTGGACTCTGTGGCCGATTTTGCTTATGGTTCGAAAATTCTCATCAACCACATGGATAAAGTGTGCAGACAGCCTGCGCTGGATGGGGAAGAGGTGGCGCGGAGGGCTGAGAAGCTCCTGGGTTCTGTCACCTACAGCTTACTGTGGTACAACTGTGAACACTACGTCATGTACTGCAGATATGGGATTGCCATAAGCTACCAGACATATCAGGTAAAGAGACCAGCCAGTGGATGATGATCTATTAAAGGGGAGTTTGGTGAAAATGTTACGAACGGTAAATATCTTACCTGCTGCAGATAATGTGAGGTTTTTTTAAATTCAATAAATAAACATAGGATTCAAAGATCAACTGCTGGGGGATTTGTTTGAAAACAATTTTCAAATTTCACATGTTTAGACAGTTTTACAGTCGGTATTTTTCTCTGAGAATCGAAAACATAGTCATTATACAATGCCTAACTAACTAACTAACTAACTAACTAACTAACTAACTAACTAACTAACTAACTAACTAACTAACTAACTAACTAACTAACTAACTAACTAACTAAC